AACAACAAACAGTGGCAAGGGACCTCAAAATAGCTCTACAGAGAATCAGAGTCCTAGCAGATGATTCCAAGAGGAACAACATTAGAATCATGGGACTACCGGAACCTCAGGGAAACAATCCCAATGAAAAAAATACCGTCAAACAAATCATTGCTGAAAAATTACCAGAGCTCCACAATGCAGCCATTCAGGTTCAAGGAGCCCGAAGGGTGCCAGCTAAAAGAGACCCCAACAAAAACACTCCAAGACATATCATAGTTAGAATGATCAATGCTGCCGATAGAGACACAATACTGCAAGCAGCAAGGGCAAAGAAGGAAATCACATACAAAGGAGCACCCCTTAGGTTCACAGCAGACCTATCAGAGGAAACCCTACAAATCCGAAGGCCATGGCGAGATATAGTGAAAAAAATCACCGAAATGAATGCTTCACCAAAAATACTCTATCCGGCTAAACTCTCCCTCAAAATCGAAGGAGCGGTACACTATATATATATATATATATATATATATATATATATATATATATCAGCTCAGGAACTTCATAGACTCAAAACCAAACCTAAAGCAAGGGCTAAAGGGGCTACTATAAGACAAGACAAACCCTACAACCACAACACACCTGCACATAAAGATGACACAAAACCCCATAACCATACTCTCTCTCAATGTCAACAGTCTAAATTCACCATTTAAGAGACACAGAGTGGCAAAATGGATACAGAGACAGAAACCAACATTCTGCTGCCTACAAGAAACTCATCTCAACAGCCAGAACAAACACAGACTCAAAGTCAAAGGATGGAAAACAATCCTGCAAGTAAACAGCTCCTTCAAAAAATCTGGGGTGGCCATACTAGTATCTGACAACATTAATTTCACGTTGAAAAAGATTAGAAGGGACAGTGAAGGCTATTTTCCCTTCATCAAGGGACACGTACACCAGGAAGAAATCACACTCTTAAATGTATACGCACCTAATGAGGGAACAGCTAAATATTTAAAACAACTGCTAACAGATTTTAAGGAGGACGTCGCTACCAACACAATAGTACTTGGAGACTTCAACATCGCCTTATCAACTCTGGATAGATCAACAAGAACAAAACCCAGCAAGGAATTATTGGCTTTGAAAGAAGAAGCTCTCACTATTCGCAGATGATATGATGCTATACTTAGAGAATCCTAAAACCTCTACCAAGAAATTCCTAGAAACAATAGGTTTGTATAGTAAAGTGGCAGGCTATAAAATCAATACCCAAAAATCCATGACTTTCCTATTCGCAAATAGTGAAAGAGAAGAAAGTGACATGAAGAAAACAATCCCATTCACAATTGTGCCCCAGAAAATCAAGTACCTAGGAATCACCTTAACTAAGGAAGTAAAGGAACTGTACAAAGAAAACTACAAAACCCTACTTGAGGAAATAAAAGAGGACACAAGGAAATGGAAAAATATCCCCTGTTCATGGATGGGGAGACTTAACATTGTCAAAATGGCAATACTTCCCAAGGCACTGTACAAATTCAATGCAATCCCTATAAGGATACCCATGACATTCTTCAAAGAAATGGAGCAAACACTCCTGAAATTTATATGGAACAATAAGCCCCCACGAATAGCTAAAGCAATTCTTGGGAAAAAGAAAATGGGAGGAATCAGCCTAACTTCAAGCTCTACTACAAAGCAGTAATAATCAAAACAGCATGGTACTGGAACAAAGGCAGAGCTGCAGACCAATGGAACAGAGTTGAATATACTGACATCTCCTCCCAAACATATAATCATCTAATCTTCGATAAGGGGGCAAGAAAAGTGAAATAGAGCAGGGAAAGCCTCTTTAGTAAATTGTGCTGGCAAAACTGGACCGCTACATGCAAAAAAGTGGGCACAGATCTCTGCCTAACACCATGCACAAAAGTAAGATCGAAATGGATTTATGACCTCAACATCAGACCAGAATCCATAATGTTTATTGAAGACAAAGTTGGCAAAACTCTCCATGATATTGAAGTTAATGGTATCTTCAAAGATGTCACGCCACTGGCTGAGCAAGTGAAAACAGAGATAGACAAATGGGACTATCTTAAACTAAGAAGCTTCTGCACCTCAAAAGAAACAGTGACCAAAATACAAAGACAGCCTACAGAATGGGAAAGAATATTCACCAAATACACATCCAACAAGGGGTTGATATCAAGGATATACAAGGTACTGGTTAAACTCCACAAGAAGAAATCACCCAACCCCATCAAAAAATGGGGCGAGGAAATGAACAGAAATTTACACAAAGAAGAAATCCGAATGGCAAAAAGGCACATGAGAAAATGCTCTACATCACTGATCATCAGAGAGATGCAGATCAAAACAACAATGGGATATCATTTCACACCACAGAGACTGGCCCACATCCACAAGAACAAAAGCAACCGGTGCTGGTGTGGATGTGGCGAGAAAGGGACCCTCCTTTACTGCTGGTGGGAATGCCGGCTGGTCCAACCCTTTTGGAAAACAGTATGGACGACTCTCAAAAAATTAGAATTTGATCTCCGATTTGACCCAGGTATAGCACTCCTGGGAATATATCCCAGAGAGGCAAAAAGGTATAGTCGAAGTGACATCTGCAATTGTTTGTTCATTGCAGCACTCTTTACAATAGCCAGAATCTGGAAAAAAAACTGAGTGCCCGAGAACAGATGACTGGTTAAAGAAACTTTGGTACATTTACACAATGGAGTACTATGTGGCTGTTAGAAAAGATGAAGTTATGAAATTTACATACAAGTGGTACTACATGGAAAGTATCATGTTAAGCAAAATGAGTCAGAAAGAGCGGGATAGACACAGAAAGATTGCATTCATCTGGGGAACATAAAGCAACAAAACGGGAGACTGACACCCAGGAATGGCTGAGATTAGTACCAGGAATTTTGCTCCATGACTTGAAGGCCAGCCACATGTGGTAGGTGAAAAAGAAGCTCAGATAGAGAAGAGAGCACCAAATAAAGGGTGTTGTGAGGATCCTCCCAGGGTGGGAGAGACATGCTAAAAGTAGTCTATAGACCAAACATGATTGCCACTCAATGCCTCTCTTGCAAAACACAGTACCCAAAAGAAGAGAGAGAACAAGGGGGAATGCCCTGCCACAGAGGCAGGGTGGGACGGGGGGGATGGGGGGTGGGAGGGATGCTGGGACCCGTGGTGTGGGAGGATGGGCACTGGTGGAGGGATAGGTACTTGATCACTGTATAACTGAAACCCAAGCACAAAAATTTAGAAGTCAATAACTGTACCTCATGGTGTTTCACTAATAAAAAAATGATAATAAAAAAGAAACACATATTTGCTGGGAAATTAAATATGCATTAAAGCTAATATATGCAACTTGTCATTTACTATTTCAAACAAAAAGTAGACATTGTTTTTAATTACAATAAGAAAAACAAGGGCTTAGAAAACTGTTTCAAATGGCTATTGATGGAAATCATTATGAAAATGTAATTGTTTCGTGACAATATTTAAAATATCAAAATACAAATGTGAGTTGGATTTCACTGATTGCAGTGCAATTATAGAGAAATAATTAATGTAATATTTTATTCTAGTGAAAGTGGTGCACGTTGTACTTAAACCCTTTCAACACACCTGTTTCCACCTACAATCAACTTATATCAGTTGCTAAGTTACGGTTCTCTTTTATACTCCCAGAGTTTATGTTCAAGGACAAAAAGAACAAACAGACTGTATTTGCCCATCTGTTCAATTTCTTGTAAAAGACCTTTAAAGGTCCTTGACTATATCACTTCCTTACTACTTTTCTAAACTAATGTCTTTATTGGAGCTTACAAATAATATTTCTAAAACTTTAGTATTGTTTTACAAATATAAGTTTGGAAGATTTACTACATGTAATTTACACCTACCAATAAGCAAAAAAGGGAATGCCTTGTGGAATTAAAACAGAAAGAATTATTTATGAAATAAAATTCTCAATAAAAGTAAAATGGTACTAACAGTAGAGGGATTGATACTTGCTAAATTTTCTTCAACAAAATGATAGGAGTAGATAGATATATCTGTAAGTCAAAGGAGAGATTTTTCCAAGAAAGTTGAACTTATTTTTTTTTACTAATCTTAAGAAAACATCTGAGAGTTATAAAAACTAATTGAGAGCTTTAGCAAATTTTACTTTTAAAGTAGAGATGAAGGAAAATGCATAGCTAGAAAGTGAGGGGGGAAAATCAAGAACATATGGTCTCATAAAAATTCTGAATAAACTTTCATACTGGGACTTAAGAGATGGAAAAGCTATATAATATAAAACTTAAATGATTTGAAAAAGAATATAAAGTAGATAATACCTTTGTGCTTCATATAATTGAGAAAGATTTCATAAGTTTTTTAAATTACTAACATTAAAAGGGTTTTTCATATTATAAAATGACAAAAATATTATAACGTACTGAAACATAAATACCATATGGAGGGCAGTATGATCGTACAATGGATAGGGTATTTGCCTTGAGGCTGACCAAGTTTCAAACTCTGGCACCACATAGGGTTCCCTGAACCCTGCCATTAGTGATCTCTGAGCACAGAGCTAGGAGTAATCCCTGATCACTGCCAGTCAGATGCATAAAGAAAAAGAAATATGGAATAATTACAGATGTACATTAGATATACACTTGGACAAGTGTTCTATTAGTAACAAGTATAATAGCCAAAATACCAGTGAGTTCTTAGAAATTCCTCTAATAGGGTAACATGTCTTTTAAACATATAAATTTTGCCAATAATTATACTTGTTTAATAATTGATTTAAGTGTTTCTGAGTTTCTCATTTTCAACATTTACCCAAAAAATGCATCACAAGAACAAATATATACATACACATGCCTAACATATATACATATATATGTATATGTGTATGTATATACAGGTATATATATATGTATATATATGTATATATATATGAAAAGAAGGACACTTGGTTATTTCTCTGAGTATATGCTTTTAATTAAATTTTTTACAATTTGGATTCAGCATGAATTGCAATAAATGGATCTTCAGCTGTGTTACTAATAGAAAAGTGAGCATTACCATCACGGGAAACATAGATTTTAATTCCCGTACACTTGTCACCAATTTTATCTCCAGAAATAACATCACAGTATGTTCCAGGAGGAAGACCCGTTTGCAAAGTCTGAGACAAAGTCCTGCAAAATAAAATATTAAATTAACTTGCATTACACACAATTTAAAAAAAAGATTAGAGGCTGCCTCTGAAACAGTTTAACTTTCTGCTTTGTTGAAATGAGGATCTTAGTAAAAGGAAAATCCAGGACTGAGGAAAATAGGTCAGAAGGGCTACAGTTTCTGATTTGCATGCTGAAATCCAGATCTCTGGTACCACATGGCCTTTCCATGGACATCAACATATAGCCCTTACCCTCTGAGCATCACTGGGTAAAGTTCAAGTTCAGCACCCCTCAGTACTAGCAGCATTTCCAGTGAACAATGAGGCTTGCACTGCTTGGCCAAGTAACTCAGGGAGTAAACTCAGGTCCCAGTGACACTGAGAAGCCCTGCCATCACACAAAGAATACAATCCAAATACCGTGGATGTGAAAAGCTTTCTTAAGTGCAAAATAATCCTACAGAAAATTTGGCTATTCCTTACTCAATCCTAAATATAACAGAAAAGTTTAGTTTTGAATAGTAGCTAGAGATGTGAGTGAATTGCCACTTTAGATATTTTTTATTTGTTCTTAGTAAACACAAAATTCTAAATCTGTTCTCATTTTAACTTAAAATGCTAACTGCTTTCAAAAATTAAAATTTGCTTGCTTTTTCAAAAATATATCTCAAGACGTCCAAATAAGTTTTTGGAGATAAAAGTAAATCTGCATTTCTGTTAGTATGTGTGTTTAGATATTAAGTGCTCTCAGTTTCTTTAGGTTCTCCTATCTACAAAAAACAGATTTTAAGCAACTTGCTTTGAGTTATTTTGGAAATACCATTTTAAATTTCTTTTTCATCAATAAATTTTTCTTTATGCTGGAATGTAGAAGCATGAGTGAAAGTTAGTCTTAGTCTGTCATTGAAATTTTGCTTGTAAAGAGCTTTTCACAAGCTGTCTGAAGAAATCAATATATTAGAGACTGCATACTAGTTTATGTACCTGTATACACCTTTGTGTTTTAGTGATATATAGAGAAAACCAAAAAGGGTTAAATCTCGAAACTAAAGCTCAGAACTAAATCTCAAAAATCTCCTGAGGCAAATCATTGGTTATAAGAAGTATATCCTTGAAACATATGCTTTAAAAATGTTATCTATAAAAGACAAGGAAGTGAAAGAAGACCAAAGAACCAGATAAAAGATAAAAGATAAAAGAGAGGGAAAACAATTAGGGACAAATAGATTTCAGTACTCACGAAGTATTGTTTCACTATCTTAAAAAATTAGACCTGCAAGATATGTTTCTTTAGTGAATTTACAAACTTCCTAGAAAAATATCATGTGTCTTTTGTCTGAGGTTTGTATGTGTGCATATACATATCCACAAAATATGCAGAGATGCAAAAAACATAATCCTACCTAAAGCAAAAGCCTTATAAAGAAGAGTTAAAACTTAAAGAGTCATAGTCATTTTTCTTCTGTCCCTTTTCTGTCTTTAAAATTACTTCTTAATCCATAGGTTAAAGGATCTTTCAGATTAAAAAAATAAAATGAGAAAAAAGAAGAAAAATGACAGGGCAAGAACATAATGGTATAAAACATTATTTCTTTAATACTTTAATATCTCCTTACCAGTCATCATTATTAAAGACAATGAATCCTTTATTTCCTCTTCCAAAAGCGACTTGGTTGCTACCATTATCCCACCAATTGGCAAAAGGCTCGCCATCAACTACATTACGAAACATGATCATGTTCCTAAAAATATCATATAAATTGCTTTATTAGTTTAAAACACTACGTTAAGAGAGCTTATTATTAGAAGATATAACTAAATAAGTATCCTCACCTTATTTGACGCCATCTGTGTTCACAGACCCAGTCATTGCCACATGTAGTGTCCGGATTAATAGTAACTGCTTTAATAATTCCATTGTCATTAGGTGGTCCAACCCAATCATTGATATCCTTGATTTTTTAAAAAAATGAATTGTAAAATCTCAGATTTTTGCATTACATAGATTTGACTCTTCCTTTTTCAGTACATTAAATTCTGTGTCCTACAATTTATGTCTCTGCAGGGTCATCAATCTAGAGTCTAACTCCTTCTGTAGTTTTATTGCCAATTCATCAGTATCTTTACTTAAACTTCTTTCTCTAGTGCTACACTTAAAATAAAGGTGAGAATTTTTTTACCATCTCTTTTCTCCTCAAAGAATTTAAGTAGCTTCTTATCATATCTGTAATCAGCATAATTGAACCATCAATGGCTTTAGTGTTGGATTAAAAAACAAGGACTCCTTTACTATAACCTAAAAAAAAGCTTTGCTAATCAACATTGTATCTCTATACCTAATGTACCCACCTCTTTTCAAAAATGAGGAGCCTGGGGGAAGGTGGGCTCATTCTCTACTTGGAGACTAGCCCACTTTTGGACCTGAGATGTGTACTTTCAACTTACCCTTCCCCTCACATTTATCTAAATGTGAATTTCTTAAAAATAAATGTAATTTTTTTAAAAATAAAACTATCTTCCTTCACAAAAAATTAAAATGCACATATTCTATAGTTGCCATAAAGTTAAAAAGCACAAGTAAACATGTCTTTGTTTTGATTACTGTAAATAAAATATTTATTCACTCTCATTTTTGGAAAAACATACAAAACCTTGCAACACAATATCCTGACTACATGAAATATTTATAATATTGTGATTTTATGATTGTGACTTTTAAGGTAGTTACAGAAAAAATACAGATTATGTCTAAGGTTATTAGTGTATGTCTTTAAATAATGTCATGTGAAGAGAGTGGGCAAAACTAAGAACCACTAGCATACAGAACTCTTGGAAAAGTAGATATGCTCTGAAAGGGGAAATGGACAAAATTTGTTTTGTATATATTCAAAATTAGGAATGAGACAATAAGATGTCGCTACCGAATGTAACCTGCCCACACGGCAGAGTCTGGCAAACTCCCCGTGGTTTACCCCATATGCCAAATACCAATAACAATGATGGGTCTCATTCTCCTAACTCTGAAAAAGCCTTGAATATGGCACTTTTTTAGAAATCTCAGGCCTAGGACGAAGGAGACGTTACTGGGGCCTGCTCGAGGCAATTGAAGAATAACAAGATGGTCATGATCGTGATTGTGATATTCAAAATTGTAAAACTCTCTAAAACTCAATCTCAATACAATTTTTTAATTAACTAAAAGGAAAAATCTATGTAGGACTACGGTTAGTTGCCGTACAAAGATGTAGGCTTCTCAAATTCAAAAAGAACTAGTTAAATATACCTGTCCTCTCTACTGAAGAGTATTTTCTATCGTAGATAGAAGATTGCAACACATTTATACATAACACATATTTGATAAGTAATAGAAAAATGTAATCACAATATATAAAGATAACACCACAACTTACTCTTCCATCCACAAAATATCTTGGCCAACGGAAGCTTGACATTATTCTTGTAAATCCATAAGGATGGGCAAGCATAAATCCAACTCCCATTTTGTACAATCTAAAAATTACAAAATGACATCACTGTAGAAGAAAGTAATAGTTTCAGTAGTATTAAAAGGTTGGTTAAAATAAATGTGAACATTTGTTTACTACCTAGAGTCCCAGAATGTAAGAATAGATGCTCCTCCAGCTCCATGACCTCGCTGATTGTCATGGTTGTCCACAAAGACAAGTGCTCTGTCAGATGGCATAAAACCCCAGCCTTCTCCCCAGTTCCTATAAAAAATACGCACATATTATATGTATATATATATATATATATTACAATAGTATAACTTGTTACACTAAATGTAAATTAAATGTATATGTCTTTTAGGATGAAATTCTCAAAACAACTATCAAACGGCTATTCTATGGGATTTTTAGAATAATTAAATACTATGGTGGTAGGTATATTATCTATAAATATTTCTCATGCCTATATTTATAGCAAAATAGCACTCTCCTCCCATTCATCAATTTTCTTGAGCGGGCACCAGTAACGTCTCCATTGTGAGACTTGGTACTGTTTTTGGCATATTGAATGCGCCATGGGAAGCTTTCCAGGCTCTGCCATGCGGGCAGGATACTCTTGGGAGCTTGCGGGGCTCTCTGAGAGGGACGGAGGAATCCAACCCGGATTGGCTGCGTGCAAGGCAAATGCCCTACCCACTGTGCTATAGCTCCAGCCCCATGCATATATATCTGTGTGAATTCATTGTGTTGCACTCATATGAAACGTTTTGTTATATAAAAGTAGTTATAGACATTTCAGCACATTGTAAATTAGATGGAGTTTAGAAGGCTCAATATTCATATTGTTGTCTATAGAAGGACAAATTGAAATAAATAAGGCTTAATGTCATACTTTTATAAATAAGCACTTGAAATTAATTTATACAATATATGTATATTTCACAGTATTTTGGTACTTTAGTAATAAAAAATCTCCTTATTAATAACTTGGACTTTATATTCAAACAGTCAAATATGTTGTCTTCTAATAGGTTTATTAAAATTTTTTTATTTTGTCTTGGGTTGGTAAACATAACTTCCGATGGTTAATATTTTAAATATTTAAGATAACTAGAATATAAACAAAGCATTTACTATGACTAAGTCCTTGAAAGTTAATGAACTATAAGAAAATAACTATAATGGGAAAGTATGACTGCTCTGAAAAATAATTTTCAGGGTAAATCATATATTATTACCTTAAGTAAGCCATCTTCTCTCCATCCCACTTGCGCAGCACTTTACCAAGCTTAGCACCATACTTGAATTCTGTCACACGGCCATTTCCAAAGTACTCACTGCTTGAAATTGCCTCACCACCAAGATCTATTACCTAGTAAAAAGTAAAGGGAGAACGTCATTTTGTTTTATTTTTTTGCATTTAATATAATTATTTAAACACACATCAAACACAATCTGGGTTGCAGCAAATTACGGAGAATTTAGTCGGATACTGTATGCTACTTAATTTTACCACTGTGGTATATCCTGAGCTTAGGATTAAAATTTTATAGTTAAATCAGTGAAAGTCCCTCTACTGCTTAATAAATTGTTCAAATGAAGCGTGTACTTTTCGAAAGACAATGTATCAGCCCTCAAGAAGACAGGATAGACCCTGGTGCTTAATGAGAAGAGAGCCCTCTGATAGTAAGACATAGGTAGGTGAAACAGGGAAGCTATGGTATGGCTTGACTATAACAAGTTTGGGTCACTGAGAATCTTAACAAAGGAGGCAATGTAATTTTAAACATGAACTTTGAGGGATTTTAATCAATCTATTAAATTATACAGAAAATGACTGTAAACATTGATATTATAATTTGAATTCCCAAATGGTTTTCATGGTATCAAGGTACATATTTTTTTTCCACCTTTTCCTCCCTGGATTTGGAAACACACCTTGTAGTGCTCAGGGGTTACTTTCAGATGGGTGTTGAAAACACATGGAGTGCCAGGTAATCAAACCCAGAATTATAAAAGATAAAGCTTTTCTTTTTTTTCCTCCTTCTTCTCCTTCTCCTTCTTCTTCCCCCCCCCCCCCTTTGGGTCACACCCAGCTATGTTCAGGGCTTAGTCCTAGTTTTGGGCTTAGGGATCACTTCTGACAGTGCTGGGGGACAATATGCAGTTCCAGGGATTGAATCCATGCACCTTATCTGCTGTAAAATCTCTCTGCTCCTTATAATATACATAATTTTAAATGAAGAACTTATATCCGTCAATAACTTTTTCAGTTGCTGATAGACAACTCATTAAAATTTTTAAATAAATCAATGATTTATTTTAAAAATATTATTTATAATTATTATGCATTCCTTCATTTAAAAAAGTTGTCAATTCTGTGATGTGTATGCTATCATTTATAATGCTGTAATATATAAAACATAATTTTATATCATTTAAAAAAATAAAAAAGTGGTTTTTAATTTTTAAAAAATTAAAAAGAGGTAATAACATAACTAGTAAAGGTATTTTCAATATTCAGACTCAGGTAGAGTAGCATAAAAAACAACTGTTAATCTTTATACTAATTTGACAATCATTACCTTTTGTAATGATGTCATATCTGCAGATATGAGATATCTGCAGAGACACAGAGATATTTTCAGCCTAACAAATTATTGGCACATCCATAAAACCTCTTGTACCAAAAAAAGTGCTATCCTTGAATAAAAAGTCAAAAAACATTTTATATAATTTTTGTTCTATAGAAATATGTGCCTTATACATAAAGAGAAACTGCCTTTAATTAAAGCTCCTGCTTAATTTTAATGACATCATTACTAATATTTATATGCACATATATGCATGTTATTTACACACACAGACAAATATACAAATGTACCTCTTGGAAAATGAAAGGTTTACTTCCTTCAGCAAACCACTTTGTATTCAGATTATGCAGTTTATCCAAGACTGCCTTCATGTCTCCAGGCCACATGTGCTTAGAAGCGTCAATCCTGAACCCTGCTACACCGATATCAATGAGATAATTCATATATTCAGCAACTTTGGAACGCACATAGTCTTTCTCCAATGCAAGATCAAGAAGACCAACCAGACGGCAATCTCTAACCTATTGAGATAAAAATTCTGTGATATATATATGTATATATATATATGAAACATCATCTTTATCTGAGAATCCACATACTCATTCATTAATAAGTATTTCTAATCTTCTTTACATTGAACAGTGATGACAATAATATGCCAGTAAAGTTATAGTTTTGAAAATTTTTTAGCATAAATATGGAGAACATGGGAAACAAGTAGATGTGCTCTTTAATGAATTGGGAAAACATTTTTTAAATTTATGGTTTTTTTTTTTTTTTTGCTTTTTGGGTCACACCTGGTGATGCACAGGGGTTACTCCTGGCTCTGCACATAGGAGTTACCCCTGGCAGTGCTCAGGGGACCATATGGGATGCTGGGAATTGAACCCAGGTTGGCCACGTGCAAGGTGAACGCCCTACCTGCTGTGCTATTGTTCCAGCCCCATATGGGAGTTTTATTTTTAAAGACAAACTACAAATTAGGTTCTCCTAAGAAATCACAACTATTCTTTAGAATAAAGATCAGTAATTAACATGTAAATAATGATATTAATGTCTCTTTATTTAGGTTGCTGGGTTATTATTATTATTATTATTATTATTATTACCTGATACACATCATTATAGCTTTCAATGTCTCCACTTCCAGTTCTACATTTGCCATCATTAAAATCCCAAGCAGAGTATGGGACAGCGGGAAAGTCTCTACTTCCGGGGTTGAAGTAGCTTCCACAAGTACTGCTAGTTCCTGCAGTCACAGCATTTCCACACATATGATTAATTACAGCATCTACATAAATATGAACCTGAAAGGCAAAGTTTATATTTCAGTTTGCCTTACAGAAAGGCAGAAATCTATAAAATTGTTATTGTTCACAGCATTACTTACATTTCAAAATATCTTCTGGTTATTTTACACTTACCTTCCTTAGTGCTGGAGCCATAGCACAGCAGTAGGGCATTTGCCTTGCGCGCAGACAGCCTGGCCGAGCCAGGATCTATTCCTCCACCCCTTTCCGAGAGCCCGGCAAGCTACCGAGAGTATCTTGCCTGCATTGCAAGCTACCCGTGATATATTAAATATGCCAAACACAGTAACAACAAGTCTCAAAAAAATGAAGAGGTTACTGGGCCTGCTTGAGCAAATCGATGAACAACAGGAGGACAATGTTTGTTTGTTCCGTAGACAATCAGAAGTCAAAGGTGAATATGAAATGAAGACTATGTATTTTAATCACTTTATCAATATCTACATATATGATAAACTGAATAAAAACTTCTATAGCTATGAAAAAATAAAAGCCTTTATAGAGAAAAGTAATAATCAGTTGAGATGGATTCAATATTAATATTTTTTCTTTTTTAAAAAAGCATTTATTTAGTTTTTGGGCCACATCCAGCTAGCTCAGGGATTACTTCCAGCTCTGTAATCAGGAATTAATCTTGGCAGAATCAGGGAAGCATATGAGATGTCTGAGATGGAACCCAGGTTGGCTGAATGCAGGAAGCACCTTACCTGCTAAACTATCGCTAGGGCCCTGACACTTTTCATTTTTTCCTTCCCCTCGGGTAATTTTTGGCCCCAATTAGTGCTCAAGACATTCTTTGGCTCTGTGCTCAAAAATTGCTCCTGGTGGTGCTCAGGGGACCATGCAATGGGACTGAACCTGAGATTTCTGTTGGCAAAGCATGTACACTCAACCAACTGAGCTATCACTCCAACCCAAAGTTATTTCTTTTAAAAACTTTCTATGTGTTCTCTTAAGAAATAAATAGCCATCATCAACTATCTGCTTAACAGTTGTAGAAAGAAGATATTCTTTTATAGTGTGTTCCCCTCCAAAATAAATTTTAACTACATTTTTAAAACCTATTGGGAGAAGATCCAGAAATTTGGTGCTGAGGCCAAAGTATAAAAAATGACAGCAAATGTTATAACTGGAATTTCTAATTCCTAACTTGGAGTCTGTTACCTGAAAAGGGGTTAAGTTTGATGTATTTTTTGAGAAGTAAATTTAGGCTTAAACTTTGATTCATCTTTTCTAGTAGATAAATACACAAATACAAAGGTTCACAAAAGTTAAGGAAAAAAATAACTAAGTTTCTTATAGCTAAATAATGAAGTAAAAAAAAATTAGGCATAAAAGTCTTGCTATAGAACAAGAAATCACTGTCACTGTCACTGTCCTCCTGTTGTTCATTGATTTGGTTGAAGGGGCCCAGTAACATCTCCATTGTGACACTTGTTACTGGTTTGGCATATAGAATACCTCACGGGTAGCTTGCCCGGCTTTGCTGTGCGGGCGAGATACTCTTGGTAGCTTGCCGGGCTCTCTGAGAGAGGTGGAGAAATCGAACCCAGGTCGGCCAGGTTGGCTGTGTGCAAGGCAAACGCCCTACTCGCTGTGCTATTGCTCCAGCCCAGAGCAAGAAATAAGAAAGAAAAATGATTTTGCTATAGAATATCTTTAAAGTAATTTAAATTCACTTACACCAACGTTGTTACATCTATTCACCATGTCTCTGAATTCATCTTCATTTCCAGATCTTGTACATAATTTGTAGCTAATTGGCTGGTATCTTTCCCACCAAGGTCTTAAAGGATTAGTAATAATAACATTTTCATTGGGTGGAGAGATCTAGAAATAAAAAAGTCTCAATAATTACCATAATCATGCGAGTCTTCATATTAATAATAATAATTAAACTAATAATAATTAACATTATTAATAATTATTAAATTAATAATAATTAAAATTATTTCTGAATCTTTGTAACTCTTGCAACCACCCAAAATATTAATAGCACTTTAACTATATCCATAGTACTTTATAAAGCAAACTGAAAAATCACGAGTAGTACTAGTTTTTTCTTCCACAAAAAAACTTTTGCTAACATTTGAGTATTTTGTTTTTTGTTAACATTAGAGTATTTCTTTGTAAGTAAAATTTTGTTCCAGCTTCATAGACACAGTTCATACCAGTACTATATTCTCAGAGAGCTCTGTAGGACTCACCTGAACCCCTCCAAATCCCTTGGGACCTAAATATCGCTCACACTCAAGAGCAATATCAACCCAGCGCCACTCAAACAGATGGACAATCGCTGTCCGCCCAGGTTTGGTATGAGGGTCATACTGGGCTACGCAGAGCCCCGCTAATGCAAGCAGCAAAAGGAACTTCATTTTGCCTTGAAGTTGTCAGTATTCTTTTCAGCAACTATTTATATTCCTGTAAGAAGCATATTTACAAAGCAAACGTTATCATGAATAAATACTTGATTCATAAACCATTCTTTCATAATCTGTAAAAGACTACAAATAAAGATAGTGAGCAGGTGAGAAACATCCATAAATCTCCCAGGAAGAGTCCAAATAACTCTTTTAATCTTAAAAAAGTAACAGTTCCTTGTTGAGGGAATATTAACTTTCCGAACATCTGGTATTTTATGTATAAATATATAAACTTCTTAAACATACATTATTTAATAAGGATTAGATTTTAATTCTGAAGTCCTTCACTGATAAAATAAAAATGATAACTAAAGTTAACTGAATTCATCATCCAAGTATTGTCTAGACTATCTAGACTATTTGCAAATATTTTTAATGTTTCAAATTCACACAAAAAGAAACAAAATAATTAAATTAAGCTTTAAACAAAATTTTAACTATTTAGATTCCTACATTATGATCTCAGAAAGCACTTCAATGTTGAATGACCATGATTTGATTAAACACAACTTTTCCCAACCATTAAATCAAGCCTTATGCAATAACTACAATGGTAGCACTTTTTCCTTCTTTCCTTATCAGATCTCCTGTATCTGATAAAATACTCAATTTATGAGGGTTTCACATAAGAGCAAATTAGTTTATTTTATCACATACAAATTAGGGATGAGCAGAAACATGCTGCCAAGAACATTTAATCCTTTGATTACTAAATGAATCTAGTATTTACAAGCATTTTATTTTCACATAACTTTCCAAGTGCTTTATTTCTCTGAATAATTTCAATCAGCTCCATTAATTCAAACTTCCTTCCCTATATTTTTGTGTTCATCATTCTGGGCCAAGTGTCTCTTAACTTCATATATAATATTTCCAGAGCTTAGTCTTTCAAAACGGCCAGTATGATAGTTATACCTACTTTAAATTACAAGTGCCATATAACACATTGGTATAATTAGGTGTGTTCTCATTGATTTATTATTAGATATATATACACATATATATTTGGCAAATTTCAAGTGGCAGATTTTCATTTTAACAGAAAAAATATTCCACCCCTCCACACATCAGAAGTCTTATTTTCAACTGAGTTCCCCAATAACAGGCAATTTCTTGCTTTGCTGAGCATCCTGTATTTCAGTCATAGATTCATTGTTGATAAAGTCTATGAAGAGTGTATCGATTGACTCAGATATTCTAAGGGAATTGTCATTTATCAGGGCTCTTATAACGTCTTTAAAATCCACAGAATGAAAATTAACAGTGTCCATCTTTATACCTCTGGATCAGGCCTTGGCACAAATATTCAGGGTTCACTGCCTTTCCCACACGGAAAAGAATTTCAGGAGGAGGAAAATAGTAAAACAAGATAGTTTTTACTTAACAAAGCTTACTTAGATGTGAGTGGGAGGGAAGGAATGAAATATGTGTTCGAGTGAGAACATGAACTTGAAAGAGGCATGGTGGGGGATGGAGGGGGGTGGAAATGTGTTCAAGGGAGAACACGGACTTGAAAAAACAAGCTATTTAAAAATACATTAAATTATGTTTATAGGGTAAACAACAAGCAGGGTTCGTGGTACTTGGGAATAATCAGGGTCATATCTGCTGGTCTTTTGGGATCATACAGTACATGTTTCCAACTTAGTGTCTGCAAATGTTGGGCTTTGGCTATCTCCTTGCCCCCTTACTATTTTTTTAAGAAACATAATATTTCAGAAATTTTTAATACAATTTACTTTAATCTATGGAAAACTTAAGATCCCATGAAGGAAATAAAGTTCAAAGATAATTAATTGTTCAGGCACATATGGTAAGTAGCACTGTAGCACTGTCCTTCTGTTGTTCATCGATTTGCTCGAGGGGGCTCAGTAATGCCTTTATTGTGAGACTTGTTGTTATTGTGTTTGGCATATTGAATACATCACAGGTAGCTGGCCAGGCTTTGCGGTGCGGGCGAGATACTCTCGGTAGCTTGCCAGATTCTCTGAGAGGCGGAGGAATCGAACCCGGCTCTGCTCTGCCTTGGCGACGAGCAAGGCAAGTGCCCTACTACTGTGCTATCACTCCAGCCTGGTAAGTAGAAAACCTAGAATTTGACAGAAGCTCTACTTCAAGTTAACATTCTCTGTACCACGTTAATGTTTTTCGTAGAAATCTAGTCTAAAATGCTCAATAAAAAAGCCATAAGAAGATTTAGCTATAGAGTATTTGAAATAATCAATCTGCACAGAGGTATGTTACAAGTAGAAAATATAATTCAAATTCGGAATCACAACAAAATGGAACAAAATATTTTAGTTTTTTATGTGCCTAAATAATATTTTATGACAGGCTAAATACAATGCATGAATAAAACGTGTTAACATAAATTTCCTGGTTTTATTTATTACTACTAATTATTTCTTTTAATATGATAAACATTTGAAAATTGTCATTTTCACGAAATTTCCACTGAACAGTGCCATTTAGAGATAATGTTAGATTAGAAAGAAGTGCATTCATGCAATACTAATGATAAAATAAAGTATATGACCATTCTGTCTAGAGAGATAAGAAAAGTGCCTTGAGATTTAATTGATAGGAAGAATCACTTGTGAAAGAATCTAGGGTAGGATAAAATTAATTTAATTATTTTAATTTTAAATTTTATATGTAAGAGAAAAAGTGAGTTTTAAATAATAAAACTAATAAATGTGGAAACTGGGGAACAAAAATAATATAGTTTTGTAGAACATAAAGTCTATGATATTAAGCAGCCATAGGATTTAAGGTAAAGGTAAAGGCCCTCCCGTTGATCGTCGATTTGCTCGAGCGGGCCCAGTAACGTCTCCATTGGAGACTTTGTTGTTACTGTGTCTGGCATATCGAATACTCTCGGTAGCTTGCCGGGCTCTCTAAAAATAGGAAAATTCTATTGGAGTCTCTCAATGTCTTTTCTTACCTAAAGTATACTTTCTTTTGGGGGCAAAGTGATAGTACAGTGGGAGGGTGCTTGTCTTGCATGGGGTCAACCCAGGGTTGGTCCCTGGCATTCCATATGACCCCCGAGCACTGTCAGAAGTCTTTTCTGAGTGCTGAGCCAGGATTAAGCCCTGAGCAACACCCCTACTCCCCCAAATAAATAAATAAATAAATAAAGGTCTACTTTATTTCAAGGGCTATAAGAAGCAAAGTGTTTTTTTTTCCATTTTTAATTTGTTTGTTGGTTTTTAAACAGCACAGTAAGATAATTAGGGCATTGGGAATGTCTCAAATGGATTAGAAGGCAAGGAGAGAGAAAAATCTACTAAAATATGACCAATAGCAAAAGTAGTGATGAAAATATGAACTAGAATTATAGCAAAGGGAAAAAATTAGATTAATATGCATGCTTATAATGAGATATAATAAACATAATAAATGACACCAGAGTCCATTCCTTTGTGGTAACTTCTACACAGACTATGGGATAATATTTTATACTTATAATTTGCATGTAACAAACATACAGAAGTTTGATTTAACTTGACAACAGATCTTGCTCTCTTAAAGCTGAGTATTTTGGTGTGAGGACAACTGGAATCAACAATCACATGGAAAGATTTACTAGTCCCTAGCATTTTAACCACTGCATTGATCTACCCACTATCTGTTCTTGAACTTTTGTTTCAGGGCTATTTCAGCAGAAGAGCCATCCAACTGCAGAATTATGAAACACAGAAAGTTCATTTTATTTTGCAGTATTTAGCTGTTACAAAGAGGGTAGGTATAATTAAAGTGTCAGTTTCTGATTCTACAGCAAAACAATAGCCAATCAGCTACAGAAAAATAAGAGAAAAATAAGAGTTAAGTGGTATTCCCTGATTTTAAGTTAAATGGAGAAAAAATGCATTATTACTTATAGTTTATTGACATTGAAGAGCTAATAGAGGGATATAAAGACTTAGTTATAAAACCATCTTAGATATAAAAAGAGATTTTTGGATTTTCTAACATAGCAAGAATCATTTCAGAAATGTCATACAAAAGTATTTACTAAGTGTGTTAGTACACGTATTGATCATTCAGAAAAGATGCTCTCCCTATGTGACTAGTATGTATGCACAGTCCAGATACTGCATACTGACTAGATTATCAAGCTTGGAGAGCTAGTTCCTTGAAAACTGAAAGATGTTTGTAAGAGGATGAGCAATTTTGAGTAAGCCACTAGTCATATTATGGGATGTAGATAAAGGAACATGAATTCAAAGTAGGTAGTTTACCTTCAAAGAGATTATCTTCCAAGTAGGGAGAATTTTATTACTAGCAAAGGTTTCCAAAATAAACTTGGGAAGAAAAAACCTTCAAAGAGGATGAAACTAAATGAATGTAGGTAAGTATCAGAAAGAGAATACAAAGAAACACTGACCAGAAATGTAACAGGGCGGCTGATAGAATTGAGAGAAAAACTGAACTTCATATATAAGCCCAGCTTCAAATATTAAAAATGTATTAATTAAGAATATAAACTGAGAAGTTAGACAGACTCTAGAATAAATCCTGACATTACCATTAGCCAGGTGTGTGGTCCTAGGAAATAATTCCTCCAAATTTATCCACGAAGCAGTACACAAAGCTTCAAACTGTTAGGAGCATTAACCAGAATTAACATAAATTAAGCAATTAACAATTAACTGACACAAATAAGAACTCATAATGACTGTTGTAATTTTTCTATTATGATTTAACTAGTATTCAATTATAAATATTAAATTTTATTACTTAACTAATGTTAAATTTTAAATTATTATTATTATTTTTTATCTTGGATATGTTTATTTGGAACTTTACAGGCCTACTAATCACTTTGTCTCATATACAGAATTTAAATGCAGCACAAAAAGATTATCTGTGTGTTCAGTCATTCTGAGACCCTCCCAATTTCTTTTCCTTTATTTTTTTTTAATTTTATTGAATCACCGTGAGATAGTTACAAGCTTTCATGTTTGGGTTACAATCACACAATGATCAAACATCCATCCCTCCACCAGTGCACATTCCCCACCACCAATATCCCCGGTATACCCTTCTTTTCCCCTGCCTCCATGGCAGACATGATTCCCCGTAATCTCTCTCAACTTTTGGGCATTATGGTTTGCAATACAGACCCTGAGACGTTAGCATGTTTGGTCTTTTATCTACTTTCTGCACATATCTCCCATCCCGACTGATTCCTCCAGTTATCTTTATCTTAGTGATCCCTTCTATATTCCAGCTGCCTTCTCCCCTTTGCTCATGAGGCAGGCTTCCAGCTATGGAGCAATGTATCTGTCCCATGTAAATTATTTTTATATTTAACTACATTAACAAAGTTCTATAAAATCAGACTTTTGACTATCATTTATTTTACTTGGACATTCTGCCTTTCCACCCTTCCCCTCCAAAGTTTGACATTATAATTTCTATATCTTAGAGTCTTTTTTATATCCCCTAGAAAAACAGCAATTTTTTTTCAGTTTTTTTCTTAAGTCTTTTTAGTTTCTAGGCAATCACATGTTAATATTGAAATATACTTCCCATCACTGAATCATCAGTTAACTATTAATGTTTTAACAGTGTTTTTCATTATGCATTTTAGGATATTATTAAAACTAGGGATCACCAAAAGTATAATTGTGGGGCATACTGGCAGCAGTACAGATGGAGATATACAGATGCATGCTAGACATCTAGCAAATGTTAAGAATTTCTGTATGCTTATTTAATAATTTTCATCTCAATCTAAAGAATCATAAACTTCAAGGGAGAGATACTAAAGCAAGATAAGAATATCTGTATCCTAAGAAATAAAATATGAAAATGAATTCTTGATATTCTTGATATTAAAAAACAAAATTAAAAAGGAGATTTTTAAATATTAAACATTTTATTATAATTATACTAAAATAGTTCTCTTCAGCAAAATTATACAATATTACTATTAATTCCCTATTACCCACATCTCATATTTTGTAGCTTTCTCTACAAAGAGGACATTTGCTTTTATTTCATGACTAATGCTTACTAAAATGTGCCAAATGAAGTGTCTTGGAAAGTAGTTAAGAATATGAAAATGGACATTTGATATTATCCTAATAACAGAGAATTACTCCTGAAAGATACTTAAAGTGCCACTAAAGCATATCCAATAATAAGAATTGGTGTTTTTAAGTATTTTTTTAAAAAAATTATTCAGTATTATATGAGACATGTCATTTTAATATTTACAGTTATGACAGAGGAAAAACCCTACAATAAATTCAGAACATAACACAGTAACTACTATAAATTGGGTAATTTGGCTCAGAGTTTACTTACCTCACAAGAGAGCCATGCTTTAAATGAAACAAAGGCACTCTAAATATCATGCAAAAGCAGATAGCTTTTCTATGGCTCCTTTTCTACCAATATTATCATCACTTACCTACATCAGTTAATTACAAATTTCTTTTAGTGTATGTAAAGCAGTTTCACATCTCAGGCAGATACTAAGATCCTTTTTAATTCCTGTGGTAAATTAACCTTAATCAAGAAGAAACAGGTTAACCTTTTATTATTTGTAGTATTGTGTTGTGTGTCAAAACCTCAACTATGTAACTATGTAACTTTGTAATTCACGGTCTTTAATAAAGTAAGATTTAAAATATTGAATAAAACATTATCTAATTTAATATAAATATCTCCAAATCATACCTATATTATTTTATCTCAAATTGTTTATCTCAAATTGTTTTCTATTTCTGATAGAAATATTCTAGATATTAAGAATCAATATAGTCCTTAGTTATTAGTGGATTTATAACAAAGAGAAGTATAAAAATTTCTCTGAATTTTATTGAGTTGTGTAGTTTTTTCAAAATAACCACCTATTTCTTTTCTCTCCCTAACCCCCCAAAAATCCACAAAGGATAATGAACTTGGGTTCAGTATGAGTGATAAGTGAAAGTTAGAAAAGGCAAAACAAATCTGCCTAATCAATTCCTGAAATAAGAAAAACATGTGGAGTCTAGTCTCCTACACATTTGACAAATAGTACATTTTGTGCTGCTAGAAACTGAAACTTGAGTTGTCAACAAACCCAAAATAGATTATGAAACTTTGAACTGTATCAAATCACCAAAATATATGACAGAAACCACGTTTTTTTCAAGACTGAAAAGTGTGGGGTGAAAGGCAAGAATTCTGTAACATCAAATAAACATTAAAATGACTTACCACATCAATTCCTTTGAGTCATCAAATTCTTAAATCCGCGATTCGATCTTTTCTAGTTTGTGGTTTTGCTTTCTCTTCAATTAGGGGAGGAATAAGCTGGATTTAGAACTTTATAGATTTTCTATAATTGTTTTCCTTTCAATAGGTGCTCTTAAAACCCTGATTCAATTCTTTAACTCCAGTTTATATGAATGGCCCAGTCTGCGTTTCAGAATGAAACTGAATTGGCTCTCATTCCTGTTTCCAGGCCAAAACCACTGTCTCTGGTGTCTTGCTCAATTTGCTATCCTGGACTGTCACCTCTTTCAACTACACTGTGCCACTTCAGTTGTTTACTCTTTTTGTTTTCTATCTCTTTCTACAAAGTCCTCGTGTAATCCCGTCTAGAGATTTTTCCCCCAGAACCATTTTATATAAAACTATAGCAAAAACTATTTGCTAAAATAATCTGAAAGATACAGATCAAAATAGGTAATCAATTAGCTAAGGAAGTTTGATCATTATGCAGTCTTCTGAACAACAAAAAACAATTTTGAATCCAGGGTTTTGTCATCTACAATGTGAATCTTCTAGAGAAAAAATTTGCTTGTGAGAAAAATTAGAAAGTACAGTATTTAGAGAAAAAGAATGAAACTCTATAGATTACATTTGAATCCATATTTAGAAAACTCAGGTTACTAATGACATTGGTATGATAAAAATGTAAAAACAAAATCTAACATCTAACAATATGCATTATCACTGTGTCAGTTCTGTGTATTCTTACTTTAATTTCTCAAACATAGGGCTGTGATAGAGAACTATAATAACATTATCATTTAAAAGATGAAAACCGAGGCACTGAAAGTTCAATATAAATTGTCCATAGACAAATGCTAATAAGTACTGAAAAGGAAACCCAAAACCAGCCATCTAATTCTTTATAGAGTACCAAAACACTGCTCAGTTCTGTCAGATTATCATTCAATCATTAAAATGAAATAATGTCTGTGAAAATATTATCAAACCTAAAACTTTATATTCAGCTAACAATGTTTTAAAGATTGCAGAAAAAGTGAAGATTGTTATAATATCTCCCAATTTCCAATTTTTCACTCAAAATGAAGTTAATTTGTAACCATTTTCATTCCAAATCTTATAGTTAACCACAATATGCGTTATTGTTCACAAATACTGTGTTGCTCCCTGCAGGTAAAATATTGCCCTAAATTCAGGAATGCTTGTAATTCAAATTACTTTCCCAATAAAATCTAAGCAGAAGTAGCATTTTGTACTTTTGGAGACTTTGTGATTCCTAATACATGAATACATGTATAAAAAATGAATTCTTTATGTAATATTTTAAAAGAACTAATAAGGTTTACCTTGATGAGATGAAAATGAGAAGTAAATTTGGTTATTGCAAACTAATGAGAACTTTTATTTTTTACTTTCTGTAGCCTAATTTATTCTACCCTGATTGATACAACTTAAATTCACTTAAACTCTTTCATTTTCGAGATATCTTATAGTCACATCCCCTCCACCACCTTCAGCACCCTCTGTAACTCCCCAACCCCCCTCCGTCAGAAGTCAAGGGATAAATGAACTTGTAAAAGGAGAGATGTTCACACTGGCTGAGATTATTATAATAAATTACTCAAATGATTTCCAGATTTAGTGTCCTAAGTAATCAGTATAATTTAAAATATGTATTTCAAAGCGAGGTCCAAGTATGTGGCTTCCAGGACTAAATCTCCAGGCCGCATGGTGACAGAGGCCCATGCTATCCCTTCCTGGGTTCCTGCCAGCCCAGCAGACAACTGTCACACCCACAATTTGTCTCCAGGTGCCTTCTTAGCACACCAGTAGCCCTGGCTCAGACTCCCAATTGAATCCCAAAATGGATTAGTGCTATACGGACATGTCTCTTGAACCCAACAATTTACAATCTAGAAATTTAAATTTAGTATTGCGGTTGCGTGAGATCTTATGATATTCAAACTGAGCAATGGAAAATAAATTATCTAGCGTCTCCCCCTGGCAGGTACGCTTGAATGGCAGTGGGAAAATTCGAGCAAAACAGAATGCCCAAAATTAGAGAGAGTATTGGGGAAATTGCCTGCCATAGAGGCAGAGTGAGGACTGGATGTGGAGGGGGGGTGGGTACTGGGGACATTGGTAGTGGAAAATGTGCACTGGGGGAGGGATGGGTGTTCCATCATTATATGGCTAAATCTGAAACATGAAAGCTTTGTAACTCTATCTCACGATGATACGATAACATTTAAAAATAAAGTAATGTGAAGTTCATGCCCAATTCAATCAGCTTAATCAATGGCTGCACAAATAGCAGTACTCCTACACTATTAATAAAGTAAAAATAAATAAAATACATTTCAATATGTGTTGTCATAAAAATGAATATGCGAAAATAAAACATTAATACATAGCTCTTTCTCTTTTACATCTGTAAGGATTTATCTAAATGTGAACTTTAATTATTAACATGGAAAACAAGATCTAGGAATTAGGCAAGTAGCAATTTCATTAAACAAATTAATTCCAAAGTAAACATTTTTTTGCATAATAGCTAGTTGAAACCTCTCGGAGAGTCCGGAAAGCTACTCTCGGAGAGTATTCCACCCGCATGGCAAAGTCTGGCAATCTACCCGTGACGTATTCAATATGCCAAAAACAGTAACAACAAGTCTCACAATGGAGACATTACTGGTGCCCGCTTGAGAAAAATCGATAAACAATGGGAGGACAGTGCAGTGCAGTTCTACAGGTAGTTGAAAAATTTTAACAATATCCTTGGCATTATCTTATCCTTTAGAAAGATCTTAAAGTTTTTAAGGTTGCACTAGAAAAATACACTCAATACATGTGATAGACTGGAAGAAAATAGTTATAATATATAACAAAGAACTAGAATCTAAGAAAACCTCCAAGTAACTGATAAGGAAAAGTTTTTAATGGACTAGGTAAATCTCAAAAGAAGTAACACAGAAAGGTCTAAAAACATGTGAAAGGATATTTAGCTACAATATGGGAAATTTAATTAAGAAAATAGTTTTCATCTACTAAAAGCAAAACTGGAAATTTGATCAAATGTGTTAAAATGTTTATATTAAATAAATATTTTTAATTTATTAAATCACACATTAAATATTTTGAATTTAAAATATTTTAATTATTTTATAGATAAATATAAAATATATTTATTGTACTATAAAGGTAAAGGTAAAGGCCCTCCCATTGTTCATCGATTTGCTCGAGCGGGCCCAGTAACGTCTCCATTGGAGATTTTGTTGTTACTGTGTTTGGCATGTCGAATACATCACGGGTGGCTTGCCAGGCTCTGCCGTGTGGGCGAGATACTCTCAGTAGCTTGCCGGGCTCTCTGAGAGGGGCGGAGGAATAGAACTCGGGTCGGCCATGTTGGCTGCGTGCAAGGCAAATGCCCTACTGCTGTGCTATCGCTCCAGCCATATTGTACCATAAAGTACAATAATATATAGTATATATGTTGTACTATACTATATGCCCTACCCACTGTGCTATCACTCTAGCAATTTATATCTAGCAATAATAAACTGAAATTAAAATATACAATTTTTAATGAGTACACAGTCAAATTAGAGTATGTAGGAAAAAATATGACAGAATATGTACAAGAAATAAATGAAAGAAACTACCAAACTGATGACTAAAATAAAAAATAGATATTTATATATATTTATGATAGACAATTTAATATTGTCAACAGTATTTTAAATTTTATCTCGATTCAACAATATAACAAATATATTAATGTTATTTTATACAAATGATAAAATTTATGGGGAAAAGCAAAACATCTACCTATAAGAGCCACTACAATATTCATGAACATAAGATATAACACTCATTATCTGACTTTAAGAATGATTACAAAGTGTAGAATTCAGAAGATTATCTTGGTTAAAGAAGAGACAAAAATGAAATAGACTCATATGTCAATGCCCACAAATATTGCCAAATGTAGTTAATAAATGACTAAAGTTAATAGATGCCAAAGTAAAAGTACAGTGGGTAAAGTGCTTGACTTTTATGTGGCCAACTTGGGTTCTATCTCTAGCACCCTATGTGGTCCCCTGAACCCAGAAGGAGCACAGAGTTAGGAGTAGGTCCTGAGCACAATCAGGTGTGCCCCTCCAATCCCCAAAAACAAGAGTAATGGAAAAAAATGCTCTAGTAAAGTTTATACAATGAAGATAAAAATAATCATTTTATAGTAAGTAAAATAGAGATATTGGAAGATAACAATAGAGAAAAATAAGCCTTTTACGATAGTTAATCCAATGGAGATAAAAAATAATCCTTTTATAAGAAATTAATATAATGAATAAAAATAATCCCTTTACAATAAAGTTTATACAATGGAGGCAAAAGTAATCCTTTTACAGTAAATTAATACAATGGATAAAGATAGTCCTTTTACAGTAAAGTTTATACAATTGAGACAATAGCCCTTTAACAAATCCACCCGAACAACTAGATATACACATAGCAATAAAAACAAAAAAGAAGTGTATTCTAGACTCAGATTTTCATTCTTTAGAAAAGTTTGCATGAAATGAGCTACTGAGCTAAAAATAAAATGAAAACTGTAAACTCACAGAAGATAGGAAAAATACAGAAGAAACTACTTTGGATAGGAAAAATACAGAAGAAACCTTTGGGCTAGCGTTTGGCAATCACTCCCCCCCCCCCCCCCCCCGAGTGTGAGGGGTGCATCCTCAGAGCTTACTTCTGGCTTCATGCTCAAAGTTCATTCCTGGGTAAGCTTCTGGCTAAGCTTAGGCTGTACTTGGTGTCTGGGATCAAATCAGGGTCAGTCAAGGGCAAGTTAAGTGCTTTAACAAACCCTGATCTATCTCCCTGTCCCAAGGAAAACACTTTTTAAATACATCAATGGCATAATCCATAAAAGATATGATTAATACACTGAGCTTTTAAAACACTTTTAACATTTTATTTATTCATTCATTTTTATGGTATCAGGGATTGGAGCCAGGCCCTCATATGTGCAAGGTTGGTGCTCTCCATTCTTAGCCAAGATAAGCTAAATGTGTCAAAACTGAAAACTTCTGCTCTGTGAAATGCACTGGCAAGAAAGTAATTTTAAACAGGTCATTTACTGGAAGAAAACATTGATAAACAACATATATAATAAAGAAATTCCATAAATATAATTTTTGTTTGTTTTGTTTGGGGGCCACATCAGGTTGTTCTGAGCTAATCCCTGGCACTGAGCTCAGG